CCACTTCCATTCGGGAACCTCCAATGGCTGCAATTTACCATGCGGCCTCTGATGTTCGGCCTTAACCTTACGGCAGGTTAAGCACCTCTCGACGAACCACGCAACATCTCTCTTCATACAGGGCCACCAATACTCCTTCCTCAAATCCAAATACATCTTAGTGGCCCCGGGATGGATCGAGAATTTCGACCGATGAGCCTCTTCCATCAAAATGGCACGCGTACCTCCCACGAACGGTACCCAAATACGCCCCTGAAAAGTCATAAGCCCCCAACCATCAGGAAATGACATCCCAACTCTGCAGGAAGTTAAGTCCTGGCTTGGGAAGTGTTTCTCTATGAAGGACCTAGGAGAAGCTGCCTATATTCTAGGGATAAGGATTTTGAGAAACCGGAGTAAAAGACTAATTGGACTTAGTCAAAGTACATATTTGGACAAGGTTTTGAAGAAATTCAGCATGCAGAACTCCAAGAAAGGAGAGTTACCCATCCATATTAAAGCCAGATTGAGTAAGACACAAAGCCCAAGTACCGAGGCTGAGATAGCAGAAATGAGTCAAGTACCTTATGCTTCAGCAGTAGGCTCGATCATGTATGCTATGACGTGTACTCGACCTGATGTAGCTTTTGCCTTGATCATGGTTAGCAGGTATCAGGGGAATCCTAGCAAGGCACACTGGATTGCGGTAAAGAATATCCTCAAGTACCTATGAAAGACTAAGGACTGGGTCCTTACCCTCGGTGGGAGTGATGACTTGAGAGTTGTAGGGTAGAGTGATGCTAGCTTCCAGACTGATAGGGATAATTTCCGCTCTCAGTTGGGCTGGGTCTTTACCTTAAACGAAGGAGCAATTGCTTGGAAGAGTTCCAAGCAGGAGACAATGGCTGATTCCACTTGTGAGTCAGAGTATATAGCAGCGAGCGAGGCAACAAAGGAGACAATATGGCTAAAGAACTTCATTGGAGACCTTGGAGTTGTACCAGCTATAAACGAGCCCATGGAAATTTTCTATGATAGTGAAACTGCGGTTGCCTTAGCCTAGGAACCAAGGGATCATGGGAGATCCAGGCACATCGACAGAAAATATCATTTTATCAGACATCGCATAGAAGAAGGAATCCTCGTGGCAAAGAGGGTATCATCGGATGAGAACCCAGCAGATCCGCTCACGAAGGGACTGAGTAGGGTTAAGCATCTCCAGCATGCTCGGAGCATAGGGCTGAAGGATGATATAAGTTTTAGTAGTTAGATAAATTATAAAATTTGTAAAGTGTAATTGACATTTGATGATGAATAAGAGTTGTGTTTATTTGTTAGTAAAGTGTTACTATCTTTTGTCAATCGCTTACTATAATTTCTTTTGCATGTTTTGACTTCCAGAATAATTATGATTGGTATATCATATTATTCAAACCTCCACAGTCGGTCATATGTCGGAAGTAGGTATGAATCAAGACTGTCATGATTGGTTGCAGAGGTCTAAGGTGTTGGACATGGCTACAACAATCATGAGTGCTCATAAGTTCTGAGCATTGGACACAACCCACGCTCACTGGAATCACTTCATGGAATTTATCTCGAGTGATTGTGAGACAGTAATATCATATAAGTCTTCAAACCTAGAGATATGATTTGTTACTTACGAGTTGGTTATGCATTGATTGTACGAAAACGCATTGGTGACTCGATGTTATAAAACGTGCTTTTGTGTGTAATTCAATGAGTGGTAGAACAAACATATGAGTCGAAGTTTATCTGTTCCTTCTTGGATTAGAAGCTGATATCTGGGCCCCTCGATGATTTCGTTTTGACCTATGTACCGGGCCCGGTCAGAACTAAGTTGATGTGTTCAATTAAGTTCTTTGTCAAACAAATCGAAAATCAGGAAACAAACTGCTGGACAATAAGTAAGACATTGTTCCATGTATTTGTCTGGCTGATATCTAGAACAGAGGATTATATGATCACTTATCTTAAATGGCGTATCAACATCTTCTCAGTTCCGAGAGACCTTGAAAGAGCTACGATTATCGATGTATTTGTCTGGCTGATATCATATAAGTCTTCAAACCTAGAGCTACGAGTAATATCATATAAGTCTTCAAACCTAGAGATATGATTTGTTACTTACGAGTTGGTTATGCATTGATTGTACGAAAACGCATTGGTGACTCGATGTTATAAAACGTGCTTTTGTGTGTAATTCAATGAGTGGTAGAACAAACATATGAGTCGAAGTTTATCTGTTCCTTCTTGGATTAGAAGCTGATATCTGGGCCCCTCGATGATTTCGTTTTGACCTATGTACCGGGCCCGGTCAGAACTAAGTTGATGTGTTCAATTAAGTTCTTTGTCAAACAAATCGGAAATCGGGAAACAAACTGCTGGACAATAAGTAAGACATTGTTCCATGTATTTGTCCTGCTGATATCTAGAACAGAGGATTATATGATCACTTATCTTAAATGGCGTATCAACATCTTCTCAGTTCCGAGAGACCTTGAAAGAGCTACGATTAGCGATCGGTTCCTGAAGTATTGCAGTTATAGTTATTAGACTTATCCAAGTGGGAGACTTTTGGATAAGGTGTCTAAGTCCATAACTATTTGTGGTAAATACTTGACCCGACCCGGCATGGTCCATTTGGGTTGCATGGCACCATGCAATTGGATAAACTAAATGAGAGAAATAACACATATGGTTTATTAATATATTATAAGTTCTAATATATTAATAATATTATTTAATTAGTTTTGATCAAGAATTAATTTAGAATTAATTAAGTGATCAAAAGAATAACTAATTAAATATATGGGTAGATTATGAATCTTCCATATCTTATATAGTGGGCTAAAAGGCTCCATGGATTATCAAGTTGGGTTCCACCGATAAGGTGCTCCATGGATGCTCCATGGAGTTAACCCATGGATTGAGAAATGAAGAGTAATGTTACATTAGGGTTTTACCTAATGCAACACATTATATAAGGACCATGTCTCTCCCCAAAATCGGTTACACAAGAGAAACAAGAGGGCTTGGCCGATTTTGAGTGTGTTAGAGTATTCTCTCAAGTTTATACTTTGCATTTGGTGTTGTGTGAAGCATTTGAGGCATCACACTTGAGGTGCTAGGCTCACAAGGTTTCAAGGAACACTTTCAACAACAAGGTATGTAATTCTATCTATTATTTATTTTAGAATTGTTCCCCATGGATGCTAGATAGGATCATAGCCTTGGAAATCAACTTTGCATGATAATTAGACAAACATAGATCCAAGGTTATTAGGGTTGCATGTACACTTTGGAAGTGTTAGAATGCTCAAAACCCAACAGTGGCATCAGAGCCTTGGCTTGCTTGTTTGATTTTTATGCAAACAGCTTGAAAAATCGAGTTTTCTGCTTTCTGCCCGTATGAACTCGCCGAGTCCGTGGGGGGACTGGACGAGTCCATGACCAAATGCAAGCTACTCGTCGAGTCAGTTCATGATAGAAGCCTCTATGACAGTAGCATATCGCTCATCAAAAGTCTCAATCAGTATGGTCCTAATAGACCCAAACATCTCTGGTATGGCCTTCCTGATAGTTGCGGCCACCTCCTCGGCAATGATCCTGCGGATCTCCTCATCACTAGTACCACCACCCCCGGGGTTGTTGCCGGTAATCACCATAGTATCTCTGAAACACAACACAAAATCAATAGGGACTGGTTAAAGCCCACACTCAATTACCTACCCCTACATTCTCCTTAGTATCTTAAGGTTCTTACTTGGGTCATATACAGATTCGCTGCTTTCAGTAGTACGGGCCCAATACTACCTTCCACACCAACTCATAGTTATCCCAAGTCCTCCTCCTAGGATCCAAATTCACAAGTACTCTATCCCTCATAGATATCAACGTACTCTCTTAGTAGATTCCTCAATGCACATCTAGGTATCTCTCCTAGATTACTCAAAGCTCTATCTAAAAGATTCCTTCCATGTACCCCTACCCAACACACACACATAGCAAATAACAGATAATGACAATCAATAGCACCCCACTAGGCTAAGGCATCATGAATCAGACAAATCTAGCTCTAAATTCTTGAAATACCTAGCCTATCATCTAGCATGCAGTTCTAGTA